TCAGCACAACTGTCAAAATTAATAAATTCGAAAAGTGGGGGGCTAACTTTATACAGGCCTTAAGTAATGCTTTAAGTTGCGAATACGGCTATGTGATTAGTTCATGTGACATCTTAAAACTGTACTTAAGATGATCTTAAATATAAGATCGGACTATGAATACTGGCCTATGAGTCGCTGCTATCGCCCACAAAGATCCAGGTCGTGATACTACTCAACGACAAGCCAGCCATATTGTGCACTACTACGTAGTAAAATTCAGCGACTAGTCAGACTTATCTTTGAATTTTACGATTCAACAGCAAGCCAAAAAATCTGTTTATTTTCATAAAAAATACATGTTTATTAAATAATATGACAAGTACATTAAAAAAAAGCAACTTTAAGCTTTCTATTTAATTAAACTTAATTGCAACTCAGGATTATCGGATGGACAAATCTAATAAGGCAAATTTTATATTTGACTTGTGTTAAGAACAATAAACGTAGGATATTTTTATGAATTTCCATGTCAAACGTGTTTTCTTATGCATGCGGAGGAAAGTGTCGTGTAGTGGCGTTATTTTGGTTAAATATTACTCAGATACGTTCGTTTTGCACGCTTTCGTGCTGAAAGAATTACGCCATCTTCTTTTAGCGTAATGAGCAACAAAGATAGCATTACATCATCAGCGCAGAAGCGTCCAAAGCGAACGCAGTCCTAGACTATACTCCGATATTTACCACTACTGAAAATCTATAATTCATGTTACATATACTATAGATTTTCAATACTGGAAGTGAACATTGGAATGGAGCTGTAATATTATTATTGCAGCTAATGCATTTCAAGTTTTGTGCAACGTAAAATAATTTGCAATGGCAGAAGAAAAAAGCGAAAGGTACTAAACACTTATCGATGTACTCTATACCAATTTTTACATTTATTATAAGAAGTTATCAAACAGTATGAAGGTTAGGTTTTTGTTATTTCCGCTTAATTGTCAAACAATTTAAAAAATTCAAAATCTAAACAATAGAAACACTTATGGATACGAAAGCAAAGAATTTTAAAAGATATAGCATATAAGAATGAAAAAACTTGTAAATACCACATGCATAATTCTTTGGAGCTAGTCTCCATAATTTTAAAACTTAATAAATTTAAAATTCTACAATTAATAACGTAAACATCGATATAATTAATCAAGCCAAGAATCCTAGCAAGTATCAGAATGCAAGAATTAAAAGAAAGTTTAAATATATAGAATTTTGATTTAAAAAATTAAGGAATTAGAACTACAAAATAAACAATATATAAATGATATTTCAACATTAACATTAGAATTGTAGTTATTTTTAATAAATTACTTAGTATTGAAAGTCAACAATTCTTTCAGTCCAAGTAATAAGCCAGAGCAGACAGAAATTGCTGAAGAAAAAACAGAAGTAAAACCTGATGAGAAGAGTGAAATAAAACCAGGATGTAGTGGTAAACAAGATGAATCAGGTGAAAAGGCAGGACGAAATAATGACAGTGGAAACTGTTACTGGTAATGATCTTTTAGTACTGCATCTCTTATAACACTATTCTTATATTGTATCTCTTATAACGCTGTTTTTGCAGCGGTAAAGAGAGAAATCCAAATATTGTGGAGCTGCTTTGTGCCAGCTGTTCCCGTTGGTTTCACGAGTCTTGCATCGGGTATCAGCTAGGTAAACTTGTTCCATTCATGGTGAACTACACGTTTATATGCAAGAACTGTTCCCAGACTGGTTTGGAATACTACAAGAAAAACCAGGCATGTGAGTATATATCAAATTATATCAAATTTAATATAAATCTATGTAAATGTTAATATATATGTATCAACTATCATACATCATGTATCATGTATTAACATAGAATCGTGATTACAATAGAAAAGCAATTTGTGCGACGTGGAACATGATTGTTCAATCTTAAATTATGATACTTTCGTTCTTTCTCTCAGCGTTCCCGCAGATGTGTGTGATGGCCATCGCAAATCTGTTGCAAATGAGCCAGAAGAAGAACGAGCAGAGGAACTTCTTTCACAAGGACAGGGATATTATACCGTTTATCGACTGTCACTGGGAGAGCATGACTACGATGCCTCGCAGAGTCACTCAATCCTGGCACGCTACGGTACGCTCGCAGGAGCTTTCAGCGGTCGTCTCTGTAGTTATCATCTTATCTTTGAGTATACTTCGATCTTTTCCAGGTCCATAGGGCGTTACTGAAAGACGTCGGGACGCTGTTCACGATGGACGAAAGCCCTACCGAGGGTCAGGTGTTCGGTCTAGTCAGTCCTGAGTTTACGTCGATCAAGCCGAATTACGAGGCAATGATCAAAGGAGGTCAGCTTAAAGTTACAGAAATGGGTGTACAACACGTTGGTGTGTACCAGCCACTGTCTTTCTTTTTTTTTTTTTTATTAGCAATTGTAACTCAACTTGATTTTCACTTTTTTATGTGCAAGATCAAGTTATAACTAGATGATATTACAAGTTTGAAATTTATCTTACGATAGCACGTTCAGTAGATCTTTGTTCGCGAAAGATCCAGATCTACTCTAAATTGACTAAAGGATACACGTGCAAATTTGACAGTTTACTTACAGCAAGCCACTTTGCAAATTTTGATTTTCTCCATTTCAATTCTTCTCTTTATCTTTTATCTTTTCAATTAGAAGAAAGTCACAAGTTGGCCCTGTTATTAGGTTGTTGATATGTCAAACTTCCTCTAAGAATCAGCATATATTTAATTTGCTAAGCTTCTGATTAAATTCCCGCCTTCGAGTTCTTTAAATGTAACGTTTCCCGGAACGAGTTTTACGTAGCAACTCATAGCTACGTGTGCAATTCGTCATTGCTTATCTTATCGTAAATACAATCACCAACTCGTTATCAGAAACTACCCAAGCTTTAATCATGACAGAGAAATCGACTCAATAAACTTTGCCCTAAAATACAACTCACTACAAAGTCGTAAACGTCGCCTTCGATATTGCTCGTTTTATTATATCACTCTTAACGCTATTATCTAAGCGACTTCTATCGCGGCGCTAATTAATCAATCAGTTCAGAGAAACAATTGAATTATCGACCTCGTTCCGGACACAAATGAACTGAAACGAAGGAGAGATTGTGATCGAAATAAAGGGAAGAGCATCATCGAAGTTGACATTGCTAGCTGCATCTCGAAAGCAAGTCGAAATAACGTATTAAAGTATCGTAATGGAACGCACAGTGCCACTTAGCGGAGGATGGCGAGGTCGTAATACTAAGCGTAAAATACCGGGTGAGGGTACGGGCACGAGTTCCGGGAAAAAAGGAAGAGGATCTGATATGGCAGCGCCCAAACTACCGGCGCATGGATATCCACTGGAGCATCCTTTCAACAAGGACGGTTATAGGTATATCTTGGCGGAACCGGACCCTCATGCACCTTTCCGACAGGTATATATTTCGCGCGATTATCATTCTTCAATAATTAATTATTCCTTTTAATTATTAATTATTCCTTTTAATTATTAATTATTCCTTTTATATATAATATTAATCATAGAAAAGAGGAATATATATAAATTCAGAGGCAAGATATACAAATTTATCATTTAATAGTAAATTTATAACAATAATAACTTTTTTTCTAAGTATAAAATCTATTATTCGTCATCATTACAAATAATCTCGGGTTTTTCAGGTGAAATAAAACGATTGCGTTACTATATCGTTATAATTTTTTTAAACAAATGCGCCGTTTTGATTTATGATCTTTTAGCATTCTTTGCATATATTGTTTCGAAAAATTGTAACTACATTAAAGTATGATTGTTTCATTTTATTTGAAAAATCCGAGATTACTTTTACTACGCAACCCATTATATGATAGTTTATTTTGCGAACAGGAATTTGACGAAAGCAGCGATTGGGCTGGAAAACCTATACCGGGATGGCTTTACCGTGCTCTTAGTCCAAGTTCTGTACTTTTAGCGTTACATGACCGTGCTCCGCAACTCAAGGTTTCTGAAGACAGATTAGCGGTTACCGGCGAGAAGGGATATTGCATGATCAGAGCCACTCACTGTACGTCACAAAGTAGTCCGTAGTGCGTCGAGTTCAACTAAGACATGTCGTGCGCGTAGTCGATTCTCACAAACTTTGCTTAAATTTATCTCGAAACATCGTTCAGCTTCGGAATACCATGAATACTCAAATTGTCTCAGTTAAACGCTCATCAACACGCAGGTGTGAGCAGAGGTACTTGGTATTGGGAGGCCACGATTGAAGAGATGCCGGAGGGATCCGCCACGAGACTCGGATGGGGACAAGAGTACGCGAATTTACAGACTCCACTTGGTTATGACAAATTTGGTTACTCCTGGAGATCACGGTATCGTTTTCATGTTTATAGAATGTCGAAAAAGTATCTTATTGAAGAGAATATACGAAACTACTTTTGCTTTTCAAGTGTTCTCTCTGTTAAAATTCTGTTAAGACTAACAACAAATAGATACATATTTAAAGAATTAAAGCCTGTCTAAATAGACTTGCATTATATATATATATATATATATATATATGATTATCTATATGATTAGAACATCAACTAATCATAATCTGTGTAGTAAAATGTCTTTTACATTAGACACACATCAATTTTTTCGTGCATATGCATTATATGACTACGCAACCTTGTCTCAGTAGACTTTAATTTTTTAAATATTTATTTGCAAATATCTATTAAATATCTATTTGTTTTGCTATATGTTCGCAGGAATATATAGTAATATATTTGTTGAGACTACAAACTCAAAAGTTACGCTTCTCAAATTTACTTTTTGTGTACGTCGCGTGAAAATTTTATTTCTTCGGTCTTCCTGTTGTTTTTATAAATTTCTAATATGTACCCTTTTTGTGTAGAAAGATATTAATGAGTTTCTCGGTTTTGACAGGAAAGGTACACGGTTTCACGAGAGCAAAGGCAAACATTACAGTGACAGTTACGGCGAAGGTGACACGTTGGGCTTTCTCATAATTCTCCCGGACACACACGACGCATCGCACATACCGAAAACTTACAAAGACCGGGTAAATTCAATGCTATAAAAATAGAGATGCGTTTGTCAAGATATTTCGATTATTTTCGGAATAAATTAGATTTCGCGGCAATCAATTCCGAAATTTTCTGAAAGCAACCAATTTCTCGAGATATCTGCATAAATTAATTATTTTGCAATTTCAGCCTTTGGTGAAATTCAAGAGTCACCTTTATTATGAAGAGAAGGATCAAGTGACGGAGGCTGTCAAGGCCCTGAAACCGTTAGCAGAGAGTAAGATCGTATTCTACAAGAACGGTATCAACCAGGGCGATGCCTTTTACGACATTAACAAGGGCGCTTACTACCCCGGAGTTGCGATTTTCAAGAGCGCAACAGTATCTGTTAATTTTGGGCCGAATTTCAAGTGTCCGCCGACCAATATCACGTTCAGAGGTGTAAGTAAACTCCCGCATCTCTCACAATCAAAAACTCGGGCTGACTGACGGTTTAAGCCGGTTTGATTCCTATTCAATTTAAAACTAAACTGACTTATTGATACTTAAGACATAGATAGGTTGAGTCGAAACTTAAAAGAAATTATGTTGCACGATGGTTTGAATTTTATTGTGTAATTACATTGTAATATACAGTGTAATTATATTGTGTAATTACAAATTTGACAAAAATATGCGACAATTTTGCAGATTGTTATTAAGTTGTTAATTGAATTATGTGTGATTATTGCCAGATGCACGAAAGGGCGGAAGAGGCGATAGCTGAGCAGTCTATGGCAGATATGCTTTATCTCATGGAAAACGAGGGAAAATTAAGACTGGACACTTTTTCCTTATGACATTAGTGTACTTTTTTATTTTTGTCACCTTCATTATTCATTTTGCAGCTGTGTTATCGCTAAGATATTGAGTCGTTCGTATTACTTCACTCCTCGTTTCCTCAATCTGTGTAGACGTGATTTAAACGAGAAATAGAATGTTACATGCTTAATGTTCATGACTCTCGACATTCACGATTTTTTTGCTGTGACAAAGAAATTTGCGAGACCGCGCGTTTTCCTAGAAACTTGTACAGTCCTACAGAGTACTCTAGGAACGATTTGTTAGAAAATTTTTGGACGGTTTAGTAAATTTTATATCACACCTTTCCCGTGACCCAATTTGTTTGCGAGTAAATGCTGTGTTGTAATTAATTAATTGCAATACTGTGTCCGTAAATTGTCTGTATAACTCACGCGAAACTTTTTTAATTTTCAAAACTTTTTAATGAATTTTTTTGCAATGAATGTCTATTTGGATTTAAAAAATTTTATAATTTTATGTCTTCGAAGAATCTCGTATTGTCAGTATACTAACAGACTAGTGTACAAAGCTATTAGATGTATATCTAACTACAATTGGAAAGTGAAAGTAACGAACAGGAACAGTCTGAAACGTTGGTGTATCTGCAGCAAAATACGCAAATGGCAATATTAAAGGAATTCTCGCGGTTTTTCTGTTGTTATCTGTGCATCTCTAGTTTGATGTTCTACAATCGAAATTCTTCTAGGTAAATAATTAATTTTTAACAACTGATAATTTGTCAACTTCTCGCTCTATATAGCTTAGTGTGGGATATTGAAGAACTGATATCATTTATGATATTCAGTTCCTTAATTTCCATACTAATTTGTGAGAACACGCGAATTAACTGTTTTAATATTGCCATTTTGGTACTAGTATACTAGAGTTTCAGGCACACATTGCTTCGTCTTTTTCTTCTGTTAATATATTAACTCGGAATTACATTACTTCAAAATAAGCTCGGAGAAAAAAGTCAAGAGAAGAATGATGAATCTCATTGACAATTCGTGTTGCAACGATTGACATTTCGATTGAAAGTAATTATGGTCTAATCCGCTTTTGGGGAATTTTTCAAAAATATTACTTTTTCATTTAAAATAAAGATTACATTAAAATTAACTTATTTTCATTCATTTTGAATTAAATTAAACAAAATTTGTCAAAATTAAAATTTGTTTAAATTAAAATTTCTCAAAAGTGCATTAGACTATCTGGGACATACTACAGTATAGTAATTATACAGTATTCTTCATCATTACCAAAGTGTTCAATACTTGTAAAATGACTTTTTCAGAGAACAGTTGAATTTTTGCTGTAAGATATTCGAGACATATGACAGAGATACCGAAGTATGAAAAACTTTCAACATTTTATACATTATTTGACTTTTGTACAGTTGCGAAAAACACAATATGCAATGATCTCATTCAATAAATATAGAACATCATCCATATGAATCTCAGCACGAAATATGTTTTTATTGTTACACCTGTGTTGCTTTTCTTGCGACTTACTATTAGTAAATAATTAATAATGTCTTATTCTTAATTAATTATTAAACGCTTTTAAATAATGTTATTTTCCAAAGCCACCTCTACAGGCAGGACTCGCTGCCACCGTTTTGTCACTGGCTGCCCATTGCTCTGGTGTCTTTGCCTTGAGGGATGACAACATAATGATATATATATATATATATATAAAATATAGATTATATATATATATATATAATACAAAAAGCAAAGAATTGTTAGTCACAGTCTATTGACAACAAATTTGTGTGACCAAAGATACTTCATATCTTTCGCAAATATTTAATTAATAATCAACAGTCATCACACTTACTATTATTGACAGAGCGTGTATATCTTCTTCCATTTCCGTTTGCAGCAAATCATATATCATTTGATGTCGCTAAATTAAAAATCAATTCAGATATACCTTCTATCACTATCATTATTTGCAATAATTATCAATTTTGCGAATAATCAAACTTGTGAAGTAAAGATTAAATATTTTCTATCTGATACTTTATTCTTCACATTAATAATGCTATTATTTTTCACATGATCTATTTTTATATAATACAATGTATTACACAAGCATACATGTGATATGTGTTTGCAATTAATGAAGACAAATTTAATAGAGTTCAAACATAATATCTAGTGATTAAGGGACTGATATCTGATAATATCTACCTTTAAGAGTGGTTGCTTGTCAAATTTCTCAGAAACAACTACAACCTTGAAATGTGACTCTGATCCTTTGGGTGCATTGTGCATGTAGGATTCATTAATGATATCACAATGTTGTGGATTCAATCCAGTTTCCAGTTTCTTCCTGATGGAACTTGCCACAGGTCCACTCATTGCTTCATTGTTACTCATGTCTTGTCGACGACACACGCTATAATCTGTATGTAATATAAGAATTTTATACTTACATACACATTTGTATTTACATACGTAAATACAATTTGTATATCGTTTCTGTGGGAATGACGTGGATTAAACTAAAAGGAAAATATTTATATAGATATCATGGTTCCTAAGAAAATAAAATTATGGAGGATACATACTGTGGCACATTAAAATTCAGAAACAAGAATAGTTCAAATATAAACTGCAAATATAAAAAATAAAACTAATAATTTATAAGCAATACAATTTACAAAAGATAGTTCAACTATGTAATTAAGGAAAATTGAGTTTCTATCAGACTTCTGACGTATTATAGACCGACGTATACGTCTAAATTTTTATACTTCTGATTGATTACTCCGTTGCGTATATAAACAATAAATTCACAAGTAAATGTGTTTGTGACTACCACGACGAAAAGATAATAAATAAAGATATAACTCGTTCTTTAAAAAGGATATAGTTTTAGACCAATTTGACATGATTATTTAAAAGGGCAGAAAACATAGAACGATTTTGATTAGGTTGGTGTACTTACTTCTGCTGCCTACTAATTTTCTCAGCAATCTTGCGTTATACATTCACTAGAGATTATTTGTATTATATTTACAATATATTCGCGACTCCCTTTGATGTTTCTTTGATATGTTAGATCAGTTGCCCGGTAGATTGAAGAGGTTAAATCAGGTTAGGCTAGGTTACCTTGCGATACAGTGGCATCACGTGACGATGATTCGCAATACACACACACACACACGCACACGCACGCACGCACACGACGCACGCACGTACCACACACACAACACTTTTGAAGTGAAAAGAACTCTTTTGATATTTTAATTTAATGCAAAAGTGTCGAGACCTCAACTTTTACATATTAATAAAAAAAATTGAATATCACGACATTTTTTTCAGAAGAGGAAAAGTTTTTATATAAATCGAAAAGGACACAAGGTGGCTTCAGGGTAGTTCTTGTACGACTTGCAAATAAATTAGGAATCAAAAGATCTTTTTATTTGTAACAGCTTCTTACTATTTTATTTGACATCATTATTTGTATTCGGACAGGAAAGAGAAAGCTGCGCCGGTTGTTTCTCGTCTGGTTGTTATAGCTACAGTTAAAATATTTCACTGAAATATTAACCAAGTGAGTGACTAGGCGACGGGGAGCGTTAGCCCCGTCCTGATATATATTTGCTATTATTTACAAAAAAAAGAGAGAAGAAACGAGAAATAGTTTGCTATAACAATCTTCACTGTTTGCGGGCACGACGTTAAGTCGAATTTCGTGAAGTAGAACATTACCGAATACAATTACAATTCAATACATCGATAATGATTCAATTTTTACGAATTTTGTCTCTTAATTTTATCAATAAATTAATAAAACGAATTTTATCTTCTTCAACATCTTGAAATTGTAAAACTCTTGGATTAACGAAGAAAATGAATTTATACTATACATACAGATATTAAAAGTAATGCGTTCTGCATTAATTTTCACATAATCTCTTCTGTGTAAAAATTTTACTCAAATTAATTCTTTCAATTATAGTTTGATCTTGTGTTCTACTTCGAATTTTCTCTTCTAATTGAAACGTATTTCCGAGTGACTGATCATCTATTGACTTCGCACAAGTCAAGTTTTAAATACAAGTTGGTCCTCTGATTGTCATAAGATTACTTACAAGTGTATAGCAATGTAATGTATGATGTCAATTGGACATATGCTACTTTCTTTTTTCTTCTTCAATTTTGTCAAATGATTTTCCAACGTTTGAAGTAAGTCGCGTCCGTTAAGCATGTCGTTTAAATCGCCGTCGCGAGAAATCTCGTCGGTTTCGCCCTTAAAAGTAACTCTAAAAATCGACGGGTCTTCGTTATTCTATTTACAATACTTTACAATACTATAGCGAGGATCGTGGTCCTCCTTCGGACTTTCGATTTGTTCGCGAAAGCCCTGCGAATTTCCGCAAGAAATATACACATCTCATCGAAACGCGCTTTTACATCGGCAGAAAAAGAAAGAACTTCCAAGATGCAAGAGCTAAAATACTAGAAATACTGGCCTATCAAGATAGAGAATGATTGCATGTAAAAAACGATTGCCATAAAAAATTGCACAGTTTCACAAATAGTTAACTATTACTATGAGTAAAGTTCTCAGCAATTCCCCGACTACAAAATTTTGTTCTACCTTTGGACGTAAAGTACGTTTCGTTTCTATGTATTCCTTTGCTCTAATGCGATCACCTCGCTGAAAGCCGCAGGACCCTTCGCACAATTAAACGTCACCTCCGCCGATCTTCATAAATTAATTAATCGCTGGCGCGAGAAGCTCCTTTCATGGCGTCGCGACGCCGCTCAACCCTTCAATCGATAACTAACTCTCCGATCGTACGCTCAGTTCAATTCTAAAAAGAAGAACGATCGGGGCGAATAAAAAAAAAAAAACAAAAAAGACCTATCGAAACAACTCGTATATCGTCAATAATTATTTAATTACTGAATTAAATATTATCACAGTAATTAAACGTGTACGACGAGCAGAACACATAAACAATCGTTCAGTTCAACTTTCCAGATACTTTCTTTCTCTCTCTTTCTCTCCGTTATCTCGAACTTCTTTTTTTCTGTTGTTTCTCATCGATGACGCCATGATTCTTCAGATAGTCGCGAAATACTTCATTCTCGTCGATACCGAGGTATTGGTCAAATACCGTTTAAAGGGTCAACGCGAGCGTACGAGTGAAATAATACCACGTCAGCGTCGCGATAGTTGCGAGCTCAATATGAGCCGTAGTGTGTACGTGTGTATGTGTGTTTGTGATAATAGTTTTGATAATCTTAAATTGGCCTAACTTATTATTACGAGACGCCGCGTTATTGTTCCCCTCCCTCCCTTCCTTCCTTCCTCCCAACCCTTTATTTGTTGCCGTTCTGCGGGAAAACCCTCCGGATCTTTCGAACCTTGAAGGCCCCCTCTCGGGTCCCCGAGATTTTATAATATTAGGAATACCAAAGTTCCTTTGCTGATCGAGTTATCCCGGTTTGTATCTCTATTTCTGTCTGTGTCTCTTCGATTTCTGCCTATGTACACAATATTCATGCTACTAGAGAACTGTTTATCTGGCAACATCCCGCGGGCTTTGTCTTAGAATTCCCTTTGCATTTCATCTACACGATTTCTACGTCGGCGGCCTCGGCGATAGCTAATTACGAGAGTGAGCAAGCGGGCGATCGACAAGGTGAGCATGTAGTCCAACCATTCGATAGGGAACCTACAGGTGCGCGAACACGCAAAACCAAAGCGAATCGAGTCTATTCCGCTCGTCAGCTCGGCTTCAAGGGCAATGAAGGAACCTCATAGATCATAAACTCGATTCGCTCTGGCTCGACACGCATGTTTGACTGGATACATATTGTCACTAAGTTCGTTGTATTGTTTTGTCGGAAAAAGTGGTTATGAATAACACACGGTATATCCGCCGAGTATTCCCATCATTGTACGACTAGTTTGCACTTCAAATAGTAAAATACATATACTCTATTCCGCTTCTAATACTTAAAACTTTTCAGTTGGTTTTCCCGCAGAGACAACGACTTCTAGCTCACCCTGCAAGATCCGCGATCGGAATTAAAAACAAAAAAAAAAGAAGAAAATGAAAATCGAAAGCTATCTTTTCTCTTATGCATCTTCCATTTTCCTACATCCGGTTTCTAAAGTGAGAATTCTTTAGAATAATCGGCGATGCTTATTAAGTTTGTATCAAAATTTTTTTCTTTATAATCGTTCTAGGTAATGGAAGATTGATGGATGATAAGACTATATAAAGATCCAATTAAGAACTTCTTAATCTTTTCATGACTAACGGCAACTGTAGTTATCCGACTCGAAACGATTTCTGGAGAGCGACTGCAGCTCACAGCCAACAAAATATAATCATTTATGCCATATATACTGTTGCTCGTTTTTCAGTCGGATCTTACCGTAGCGAAAAGTTAAGGGAAGTCTGAAGATTAATGATTTGAGAAAGAAATCTCTGATCTTTAAAATTCGGAGACTTCCAAAAAATCACTTATATCATCGAATTTCACAAAAGCCTTGAAACTTAAGGAAAGTAGCTTTCTTTTTCTTTTCTTTCTGTGGGAAACAGTCGGAAATTCGAACAATAATCATCCGAACGCCCGCTTCTCGCACATAACGTAGTCTAGCTGATCGCGCTAATACTAATGATCGGTTAGCCGAAGTACGGCGGATCTGTCGCCTATACTAATCTCGCGCAGAAACTACGCGCACGCAAAAGCTACGAGGTAACTCGCTTTGTCGCACCCATATATGTTCGCGATTTCTCACGCGTTATCAGTCTCATAAAAGAAAGGCGCTCTCGTGGAATAAAAGAAGGCACTTTTGTTGCAGTATCCTCTTCAGGCACTTCCTGATATGTTGCCGGGCCAGTCGCGCCACTTCCCCGCAATCTCCCTCTTCTCTTTTACCCTGCATATTTCTACGGATCCTCCTCGAATCTTTATCGACCATTTATCGTTGATCATTGTTTTCTCGAGCCCTCCTCGTACTCCAATACCGAACCATTCTCACTGTCTATCTACATTCCTCTTGTCCGGTCTGGGTGCACTCAGATAAGGTCCGCGGCCGTCAGTACACGTAGATGGTCTTCAGCTGGTCCTTCAGCTCGGGGGGAATGGCGCAGGTCTCCGTCTCCGGTTTCCGCTTCACCAGCCGACGCCAGCGCCCGCCGATGTTCTTGCGGAAACCCTTCGCGAATCCAGACCGGTCCGGCGGTAAACCGTGTACAAGGTTGTCCTGCAAAAGCAAAAGGAAATACGTTTTTACTTCGCATGCTATTATTCAACCCTCGTCGTATAAATCGATCAGACTTATCCTATGCTAAGAGGCAAACAGAAACGCTATCTCGCTCGTATCACGTGCGAGAAGGCCATTCAATAGCACCAGATACAGCTAGAAAATATCTTTTATCGCGATTCAGAAGTGTTCAATCGGTATATTCTCTCGTAATTTTCGAAGTATCAAAACCAAGGACTCTATTCTGGACGCATTGCCGACATCAAGTATATCTTTTTCGTTTCAAGTTCCGTTTTTTTCACACGAGCGTCACGGATTGAGAAAGGGATACTTAGTGTTCAATACACGCGCAGAAGAGGGGACTCCGTTAACAATCTCGTTAACGCGTTAACGATCAACTGCGTGCAACAAATTATACACAAAGTCGACAGAGAATCAATGAAACGAACTAACGAACATACGCATCGCAAATTGCATTTTTTTACCGCACATTTAGCGCTTCAACCTCAAGAAATGGAGGAATCAGTAAGTATCGCGTGGCACATGGGAAAAAAATTTCAGTTCGTGTAACGTGTGAATGGGGACCAGACGAGAAACTCTAAAAATGGCTAAAAATAATATCTCTGCGACCGAAAACGTTCACCTTCAATTCGCTTCCAAATTCGAATGAGGTAACAATCGGCTGAACAGAAATCTTTTCTAGGAAGGTTTTCTTTTCGTTCCTACAACTGAGTTTGTTATCTCGTTTGCCAAATAACAGAAAAATCAGTCACGTTAAGGAACACAGAACATATGGCACACAGAAAAATTTAAATAGTAAAACGTAAACAATAGGCAAATTGATCAATCACAATCGATTCTTCGAAGAATCAATGAGTGTAATTGATACTATAATTTGCTTATTGCTCAAGTTTCTCTGTGTGGAATGGCCATAACGGAATTGTGTATTCCGTACAGTCAATGTATTAACTGCCGAGTCAATGTGTTAACTCTACCGAGTAGAGTCTTTATCTATACGGGATCTGTTGGAAAGTTCGGCCCGAGGAAAGGAAGGAGTTCGTCACTTGTCCATGACTTTTCGATTTTCCGAGAGACCTGTTGGTCAATCAGCAACGTGACACTATTTTATGGTCGTATAATAGCGTTACCGGTTTAAATACGCTGTAAATCACCATTGTTGGCCAAAGTTGCGACGGCGGCTATATAGAGGAGCTGCTCGGACCTGCCCAGACCTGCCAGCATACGGCAGGCAACGGAGAAACGTTATTTCGTGAACGTCTCGACAGCTGCACCCTATTCGGGGCCCGGCTGGTGAGCGGCGGTAGGTAGACGCCCACCAGGGACGCTAAATTTAGCGTCAGGCCGGAGAAGCGTCGAGAGCTGCACCCATTTCGCCGGTGTATTTATATGCATATTCTGTCGCTTTATTACACTTTAGAAAATAATTTTATCCCCGGGCCGTGCCCGTCGTAGTAATTCCGCTAGGCCGGAGTCCTAGCGCGTGTCATCACAGGATTACACGGTCGGTGTTGTTATTTAATCCCTTTAATCTCTTGTCGATTAGCGGCGCTGTTAATTGCCCCTCGCGTGATATCTCACGGCGGCTATTTCGAGTGAGCCGAATGAAGCCGCGACTTCCGACGGCCGGCTTCTAAATAAAGAAATTAATTATCTCGATTGTGTTGTCGCTGGGAATCTACACACGGGAATTTTATCCACCGTGCGGGATCGATAAATTGCGCGACGGTCTAATTGAAGCGACGACGGGTTAACTCTCCTCACGACGTTCCGTCGTTCCTTTTTTTTTTCTTGTTTCTTTTTTCTCTCCCTTCACGCGACCACGTCGGGCGAATACAACGGAATCAAAAGAAACAACGTCGTTCTATACATCGCGATCGAATCGTCCACGTTCCGAGTTGGGGCGGTAAAAAAGCGCGCCGCAGCTGCAGCCAATCAGCGAGCGCGACTCGACCGGCGGGAATAATCGATCGTCTCTAAAGTGGCGTACGAAGCGTGAAACCGCGATGGCCGCGGGTCACTGTCCCGGCCATCGATTGACGAAGGTGCTTACTGTTTCCCCCCAAGTGTTACGAAGGGTGTACACGAGGAAAAGAGTGCAGTCCCTACTGCCTTCATAAAACAATGTCACGCCGTTTTGGAAAAGTGTATCGCAGAGATATTGCATTCCAATATATGTTTTGGAAATTTTTTTTACGCAATCTCATTATCTTACATTTCTTTCTTACGAGCAGATTTTGTGCCGTTGTATTTCCTTTCTAAAAGGGGTGTATGTTACGCGTGAATAAATAGTAAATAAATAAACAAAATTCTGACACGTTGTTGCAAAAGTTACTTTCCAATCTGATCTCACTTTGATATCATTTCAGTTTGAGTAATTAGTAACAAAGGATTACAAAGTGAAGTGCACAGGCGTAGGAGTTGATCGTCACGGCGCGGGAAAAGATCGGGAGAGGCGTAAGGCTCATTATCGCGCGGCATAGTCGCGAGAAAATCACCCCGACGGAATCGCGGCCGCGTCCACCGCTTCCTACGCCTGCGAATCTTTTTCGGGTGTCTCCGGCCAACGTCGCGCGTCCTCGAACCATTGAGAACAGACGTAGCAGGGGCGAACCAGTAAAATCTGGTAATACTGGCTTCACCGGTTAGCCAGTTAGCTGTTGCGAACGCGGTTAGATCGGCCGATAGATCGCGAGAAAGGGCGGTCAACGATTGCTTATATATATATCCGCGCGGCCTGTCTCGGTGCCATTGGCTCTTGAATTCGCTCCACGTGATACGTCCGCGAGGTTTCGCCCAGCAGACTCGAGGAGGCATATGTAAAATCTCGCGAGAAGCGAGATTGTGGATTTGTGCAAAATTTCACAAATTCGACGTCGCGAGATTTGCAAATTTGGAATTTAGGACTGTTTATCCGCTGCGTTGACACGCGTGACACTCTTTCGAGCAAACAGATCCAATGAACCTGTAGATCGTCCAGCAGAGTCGGTTGAATCGCATCCCGAGATCCGAGATTTGAGAGCCGCTGAGAGGCGGCCGACGGACACTACGTGTGCTCGAAGTTAATGCCACTGACCTAAGCTAATCGTATTTTGCCAAGCAAATGGTTTAGAAGCTATCAGAAGGGATCCCGGCCAATGTGCTAAGAAGGAATTCTGCCGCATCATCGTTGTCACGAACGTACACCGAAAATACATTATACTCTTCGCGCGTAACTGTAAAACTACTACTTTTTCTTCATTATCTCGCACTCGTACGCGTATAATCAGTCCTGCGAAAGTTACGGTAAATTTGTGGCGACGTAATCCCGGAGAATTGAATTCCCGAGGTTTTTCAGCGCTGCGTGTACGAAGATAAGGATCGTTTCCGCGCGTTCTTGGCATTGAAATTTCAACTCGACCGGTCTTGGCCTCCGCCGCGACGAATTATAATACCAAAGAGCGCGTGGAATTACAATACCAAAAAGTACAGGGAATTACAATACTAAAAAGGAATTACAATACCAGAAAGATATGTTAGAAAGAATACTAGAAGCGGAACATTGAGATAAGGACGATCGCGAAAGAGTCATCGTTCTTCGGCTGATATACTGATACTTTTCATATTCGTGCTGCGAAATTCTCACGGAAAACGATTAGATTACAAGATCGACCGCAAAGACACTGAGAACAAAATACTTGGAAATTTATTCGTGGAATATAAAGCATGTTTCTGCGAAATAAAGGTTATTTCTCCATGAATAACCCTTTATATTCCACAAAGAAATTTTCAAGTATCTTTTCTCAGTGTTTCTATCTGTACTCTGAGAGAAAATACTTGAAAATTTAGTTGTGGGATATAAAGTCCATTTCCGTAAGATAGAGAGAGATTATTTCTGTGAATAAATTTTATATTATATTCCCACAAGTAAATTTTCAAGTATCTTTTCTCTGTGCGCTAGGAAAAAAACTTTATATCCCAGAAGTAAATTTTCGAGTAGTTTTCCTCAGTGTGCAAGATCCCCGAGTTTCTACGCATGGCGTATCGAATCGCCCCGATCTCTACCTCGTATTTACATTTGAACGTACCCCTTTCTCCTCCGGACGAGGAGAAGAAACTAACGGCAGGGACAGACGGAGCTTCGCGGGAACGACGCGGTTGAGAACCGCCGTTCTCGCGCGGGCGCCGGCATAAAATACGAAATATACAAGGCGAGCACTAACCTGGTCGTTGTACAACGCGTACTGCGCCGGCGGCATGTGGGGTGGCGGGTACGGGGGCGGAAACTGCCACGCAAACGGCTCGACCGGATTAGGGGACGGCGTCACCGTCGTCGCCATGGCGTAGACGTGGTGCTCGTCGCAGGTGTTGTTGCCGAACTCGGTCGACACGGTGGTGGTCGTGGAGATCTGCGTGCAGCAACCGTCGGAGTGGGCCCCGCCGATCGTCGCCGGCGGCGACGTCGCCGTCTGCACTACCGTCGCCTCGGGGTGCACCGTGCCCGCGCTTGAGTGGTGATCCTCGCGCTTCCGCAGCTTGCTGCGGACAAGGCGGATCGCGATCATGGTTCCGTTGCTGCCAACCATTTTCTTGCACTTGCGGTACAGCTTCGCGAACGAGCTACTACCCGGAAGTCGCTCACGGCCGCGCTCGGCGGCACACGAGTCCGCGAGGTTTTCCAGGGTACAAGCGTGCCCGGGGCTTTTTCGCGGGAGACTCGCGGAGACACCGTCGAGAATCGCGAGATCGAGATCTCGCTCTGAGATCGCGCCTCGTGCGAATTCGAAGGCACCTGGGGACGATTCTCCCTCGCTGGTGTTTCGATCGCGCGAGACTTCTCGAGAGCTAATAAAGTTTCCAAGGCACCAGGAAGACTCTCCTGTAGTTCCGGGATTCCCGAGAGTTACACGATGCGACGATATCGGCGGAGTCTATGTAGTATATGTGCGTTTTATTCAAATCGCCAAGGACTTCCCTTGAACAAGGAGCGAGGAATTTACAAAGAAAACGAGGATAAGACGAGCGTGGGTGATACTCTCAGTCTACAACTCCCTCTCTTTCTGTCGCAGACGATTTCGTGTTACACGCGGCGCTGAGCTGTCATCGTGAAATCAGCTGTCTCCCTCTTTCTCTCTCTTTCCACGAAACAGTAGTACCCCCTTCCTCGACCTATACTCTCTTTGGCGTGGTTGTCGACGGATCTCAAAGATTTAGGAACGATTTTTAATCTTCTTTATCTCCGAGACTCTCGAGTAAATTCGTATGTCTCACAGTGAACACTGATTTTCGTCTCTCTCTCTTCTCTCCAGCTTGGGTGTGCTCGAAGTCTCTCTCTCTCTCTCTTTGTATCACCGTCAAGATTTTAGGTACGCGTCAGCCTTCTTTCTAGGTTACTCTCCGTCTTCGTCGCACGCGACACACCTCTCGCTTCCGTCTCGCTCAATCAAACAGCTGTATGAGCAAACCTCCCAACGACCTCTTCCTCCCTTCCGTTTCTCTTACGACAAGGATCCCACTGTTTTTACACTTGCGCGATATTCGCACTGACTAGCCTCGTGAACCCTTGACACTCGATCATCCGGAAAGACTCTCTTCCTCTCTCTCTCTCTCTCTCTCTCTCTCTCTCTTCCTTTCTACCTCTTCTCCTCCGCGCGTGGACGCGAATCGAAGGAACGGTGAGCACGGCGTCGTGTCTCACTGCCGATAGGCCGCAGCTGACGTGACTCCCGACTACCTACGCTCGTTCATCGCTCGAAGCCAGCGCGCGTCTGAACCACGGAACGGCGCGCTACGCCTTTTGTACCGCGCCGTGACGTCACGGGCGCGCGCGTCCGCGATTGGCCGACGCCCGCAGCGCCCGCCAATCGCCGCCGCTACGAAATTCGAACGGTATACTACTTGTCGCCCGTCCCGCACGTCCCGAGCGCGCTGCGCTCGGCCCGCTGTCGTCATAGTTGTCGCGCCAGTCGCGCCGGAAGGCCGACCAGCGGACATATGTCCTTATGTCGCGTAACCGCGATGCGTAACCGACGCAGCGCGACGTCCGTGGCCTCTCGTTTCGCCGTCGCAGCGCGTTATTTTATTCCTCATGCATACATGTGTCTCTCGCTCTTTTTCTCTCTCTCTTTATCTCCCTCGCCCTCTCTCTTTGGTCGTATTGCGATGCATCGCGATGATTAGCGAAATGTATTTAACGTTTAATCGCTCTGCGTACTCTGCAAAGGGGCGTCCGAATGAAGGTCGCGGCTTTCTTTTTTTTTCTCTCTCTTTATGACGGCTCGACGGCACGAGTACATTGCACGACGTGTTTGACTCTATCAGCTTTGTATCAAGAAATTCGTGACGTATCTGTACGATTTGCCGCGCGCAGTACTTTGTAATCTGCGCATTAAAAACGCATTAAAACGCGCACGTGAGACGGATAGTCGCGTTCTGTTGATTTATTTAACGTCTCCGCCTGCTCCACTGCCAAAGCCAATTTGCTCCTTTACTCTTGATTACAATCAAATGGAAGAAAATGAGACAAAGTTGAAATTTACTTCGACTAATTCGGCAGCAAACGAAACTTAATCGCGCGGAATGTGCGCGCTACGAAAGAAGGCGCGTAACGCCATATGTATTCACATTATATAAGATGAGAAGGGTAACAGTGTGTTGAATGAAAACTAAAAAAGCGTAAAAATATGTCCGACATAAATCAAAACGATGTGTGGCACATCTGAGTTCAGCAGACACTGTCGAGGTCGAAATCGAATTCTCTTTCGATCAGGTATCAATAAAAAAAGAAAGATTACGAAAACTCAAATTAAATCGGTACGAGAAACGCGCTAAATCATGTGAAATTTGAATGGAGTTGAATTCATTGAAATCAACGATTTAAGAGGCGATCACGAGGGGAGGTCTACGCCAGGAATCGGCCGGGACTTATCAGACCCCGATAGAAATAATAATAATAATAATTTCGAGTCGGCTGTATCCGCGATTATGCAACAACGACTGTAACGGCGCCTTTATTATTTCACAATGCGCGCGTAGAGCTGTCCTCTGTGCGACACGTGCGGCGTTTACGCTGACTTAACAATAACAGCAAGCAAGGTCCTCATCTCTCGGTCGCGCAAGCTGCCCCTTTACGCTTCGCTATCGCGAAGTTTCTCGAATTACATTACATTAGGATGGAGACGGCCGGAATGAAAGCGTAGCAAGAAACGAAAGAGGTTGAACTTCGGCCGCGGAATTTAATTTAATTTCGAACGAAGAGCCGAAGGCACGAGAAACGAAAGAAACTTAAACGAAGAGAATGGAAGAATATTAATCTCTGGACTCTATTAAATTAAATTGCAAGTCAAATTGTGTAAATTGAAATATAAATTAAATTGAATCGAACTTTGCTAAAAATAGACTGCAGTGTAAGTCGAGATAGAAGTGAAACGAAATAAAATAAAAATATAGAGGAGCAAGAGAGAGAGAGAGGAAAAGAGAACAGTAAAGTTTCATTGTCAACTTTTTCAGGTACGCCAGATTAAATTGGACCGAATAAAAGAATGTCGCGATAAGAAGAAGCAGAAGAGTTAGTAATCTCGGCGGCTAATCTCCGCTCATTCAAAATCTATTCTCGTACGTGACAACGCAGATAGGAGATTCCCGTTTCTTAGAGTCGGTCGTCATCATAATCTTTTATCCTCCACCTCGGGATTTTTCGTTGTGATGTAGATATCGGGGGATCTATTAATCCGGTTATCGACACCTTTCTCTCTCTTCCTCTTTTCACGCTGCAACGCGATAACGAGTGAATCACGCGCGCGAACAAAAGTGAACTGAAATGACAATGAACTCCGACATTGCATTTTCGCGGAAAATTGCAAAAGTCGATTTTATTTCGGTCGACAGCACCACGCTGGCTGCTGCCGCCGCCGCTGCTGCTGCCACTCAAACGACAAAAAAGCTTGTTTACAGGTGTGACAGGTGATCCGGGATCGTAGATCACTCGGTTTGTTCATTCGTCAGCTGATAAACAAGGTCGACAACGCGGCTGCCATCTTACATTTTGATAATTTGCGCGAGCATAAATCTCCCCGAAACGAGAGCTCCTATCAAAACGCGATGTCGGAAACGCGATAAAAGACTGTAACGTCGAGTAATATAACGTTCGACATCGCGAAATGGCGCAGTAATAATAACAACCGTTACGCTCTTCCTCGCGCTAAACCACCCTCACTTTGCCGAATTGATCGTTCGATTTTCGACCGTCAAGATAAGTGGCTTTCCGTCACATCAAACGTCGCTTCGCGCAACACGAGAAAGAGCACGGCTCTCCGCGTGACGCGATGAAAATTCTCGCGAAAAGACGCGGATCGCTTTTAGCGATCCCGGCGAGAATAGAAGCGTCTCGAGTTTCCAGGCAGTTGTCCAAGATCCGTGGGATAAAGCAAAAAAATCTCAGAGCACCCGGCATTCGATATCTCGTAACCGATAATCGAGCTCGGCGGGGATTCAGACGAACGTTATCTACTACGCGACTACTCGTAATTCCCAACAATGTCTCGGTGATTAAGGCCTTGAATTAATGTTTAATCGACATATCGTTGCTGCAATTTGTGCAATATATGTCGCACGATAAATTGTCTTTACTACTGAGAAGAAGACACTTGGACGTTTATTTTGTAGGATATAAAATTTATTTCTGTGAAACAGAGTTTTTTTTGTAAAATAAAGTTCACTTCTGTGAATAAACTTTACATTCGCCGCAAATAAATTTTCAAGTGTTTTTTCCCGGTGATATCTCGTAGTTTGCGTTGTCTGCACGCAGCAGACGTACTGATACAATGTCGTAGTGAAAATTACAAACAAAATATTTACAATTTTGCGTCGTAGAAAATCATGACCGAAATTACTATCTATTTATTAAAAATATTACGCACTTTTAAGGCACTACAAAATTATTGCAATTATTTCAATGTTTTTTATACCGTTTCTCTTTATCAGGTAGATCGTCAAACTTATTATTTATGTGGCAATTTGTTTTTCAGTGAATGTTTCCCGAGGGACGGAACACCCTCCGGGGTGGAATATAGTGATTAAGATCTTGTTGTCGTGCGCTTAATTATTTCATAGCTCCCTGCCCCGGCAGTGAGCTAAAGGACGATTACGAAAAAACGTATAAAGATAATAATATTTTAGAAATACTGACCGAGCTAACTGTCTGGGTCAATGAATCAAAGATACTCATACTTGATAAAGATATAATTTGATATATAGGATCACTATAAGTGACCCAGTCAAGATAACTGTGTAGAATGATTTTCTCTACTAAAGTCTACTATTTCTATAATAATTTATGCTGTAACTTCAGTATAGCCGAGCTTTACGAGAGACATTGAAAGAAAAATGCAATTTTAATGTGATTTTTATTTTCTCCGTGTAGAGTGCCAATTTATGCGTAAACGTCTAATCCTGCTCGACTCATCAAAGTTTCAAGAGAACGGATATGTACAAATTATAGGAAAAAAACTTGTCTCAAGAGAGAGAGAAAGATTTCGTTTCGTAGCGTCTCCCCCGACGTCGCGGAGGTAGTGTCTCGACGGTGTCTCGCGATAACGACAACGACGACGAGAACGACATTCCGGTAAAGAGCATCCGAAAGGGAAACGAAATACACACGGGCGGCCACGCGTCGCGCCTTTATCTCTATTTCCGTCCGGTGCTGCACGCGTACGCCAGACGTTAGTGCGCCGTTTTCAGCACGCGTCCCGACGCCACGCGACACCGTCGCGAACGGACGGACGCTCTCGAGTTTCGAGCTCTTGTTTTCCGTCTGCTCTCGTCTTCATTTCGCGCCTCGCGTTCGCGTCTCTTCTCGCTTCCCTTCAATGCCTCCGCAGCTGAGACGAATGTCTGAACGCAGACGACCGGATTGCAGATCGCCAGACGTCTTCAAGAGGACACGCGATGCGCGGGTGTCGCGAGCGTTGGTCGTATTATTCGTGGAACTCCGCCGGAATGTTCACGTTGACTATGTATGTTTAGACCAACGGTATAATATATGTATGTCGTTGTTGTTAAGTATATAGAATTTTGGCAGGGAGGGAGGAGAGAGAGAGAGAAAGAGAGACACAGATGTGTACAATCGATCTGTCTGGCAGCGACAATTGTTTGCATGAAATTCTGCGAAATGTGTCGAACGCGTTCGGGTCAATAAACCTGTATCGTTTGCGAATATCGCGATCATCCGGGGGAAAAACTGACTGACAAATCCCCGATAAGCGGACGTCACGCCGGATAATCCGCGAATTCAGGCGAATCGCGTGTTTACATCTACGGGTTTTAAGAAGCGAAGTAACGAAAAGGAATTAAGCGCGTGGATTATTCAATTCGCTCGTCGGAATCGACGCTGTTTTTTAATATGAAAGCAGTCCATGCGTCTTTTTACGTGACCTTTTTGATAAATTAATTCTGGCGTTTCTCAAGCAGTGATATTCGTCCATCCCCTTTGAGAGGACGTACGAGGATGACTTTCACCAAACCCCGATTGAACTAATCGGCGGAATTGCCAACGGCAATTTCCAGCCGTGCAATTTGCCGTTCAATAACTACAAAATTAATAATTCCGAATGTCAGCAAAATAGAGCCGGTACTTTCCTGACGGTAGTTTTAAATACTCAAGTTAAGAAGAAAGATTCGGAGAATTTCTTAATTATTTTCTTAATTATTTTAATAGCAAACTGTGTCTTATTGTCCATGTTGGCAATTTTGCTGAGTTAATCGTCGATTAAATTAACCCGTTCAGTGATGATTTCGAGTGAGACTGCGCGATTTCCCTCTAAGAGGTTTTCTTCTTAAATATATAAGCACATCTAGATTTCTTTCATCTTTATTCTATTTTCTTTATTCTATTTTCATTCTCTATTCTACTATTTTTTTACTTCCTATTCTATTTATTTTTTATTTTTCTTATTCTATTTTTATTCTCTGCTTTTCTATGTTTAGTCTCTATTCTATTTTATTCTATTCTTATTATTCTTATTATTCTTATTATTCTTTATCTCTTAATTTCCTTTGAAAAATTTTGAAAAAATAGAATTTAATCTAATTTTCGATGTAATCTTAATTACATCTAATTTTCGTTTGTATTTGCTATTGAAACTGAAAATAAAATGCGACAATTCAATCAAATGTGACAGTGAAATCAAAAGGAATTTAATATTTTATCACTCAAACTTAATCACTCAAAAGATCAATCAGAATTTGATGAAAGTCACGCTAAAAAAGAAGAGAATTCTAATTGTCGCTTTAGAAGGTCTAAAGGAAAAGACTTCTTAGTGAAGGGATTCCACGAAGGCGTAACGGTTCTTATTTCCCGACTTATCCCTTCGCGATTCGCAAAGTACGGTGCAGGATGCATACATCCTGCACAACAGGATACACAACATGCCTAATCGACGCTGTTGTTAATCGACGAAGGGCGAGGAGAGGAGAGAAAAAGTAAGAGAGACCTGAGTCAGTTGGCCTTAATTGGCGGCGATTTTCAGCGCCTGATTCGTCGATGCGAGTCCAATTAGCGGACGCAATTATCGCGTGCATCTTCTTCGTCATGCGAAATTATTCCGTTCGTCGCTATTTTTCACCCACGCCCGTTTTCCACCGAGCGCGTTTTAGCGTCGCTTTTCACGTCACTCACGAAGCTGTACCGTCACACTTAGTATCTAATGCTGGTTATCTAATTAGTACCATCAGTGACTCAACACATAATGACCGAGACGATACGATGACGCGATGATCGACTCAAAAGTTGTCACGTGACTGTATTGTCACGTTCCGCTTACCTCGGAAGAAAAAGTCAAGGATTATAAAATCGAGCTTGTGTGTAGGGAGAAACGAGTGGAGAATAAATACAGAGTCCGTTTTGATTTAATGAATGCAACACTAACGTGAAACTAGTTGAAACTTTCCAATTCGCGCTATCAGTGAAACGCGTGCGTATCTCTATTATTTTTTGAGCGATAAGCGAATTGCTCATTTCGACGATGAATCAAAGAGTCGACAATCGAGCCGTACATTAAATCAGTATGGGGCATTATTATGATGATGAATGAAACTTATCTATAAAATGTTCATGATGAATAGAACTTATCTATAAAAATACTAGATAATAAGTAACTAGGATGAGGTAATTATCTCGTGTCAATAACGAAAAATCTACGTCAGAGTGACTAGACGACTATTCATAATAATTATTTCGTGACAGGGCTTATTACAGAATTGTTCATGATAACTTCAATGATCGGGGGACAGTCTATGATGGAATGGCGCACTCACCTGATCGTTACAGCCAGCAGGACGATGATGACGCCCACCAGGACCATAGCGATCAGCACCCCACATATCATGTAAACACTGTCAGTGGGTGGATCTGAAACAAAGAGACTATTTTGCTGAGTTTGTTCGACACGCGAAGACGAAATTAAGAAGACAAAAGAGAAAAAATGTGCATTTCACGTTGAATTCATCGTCTCAGGCACACGTCAACATCATTAAAATCCTCAAGTAGCATTCAGTTATACACTTAGAAAGAAATATTATAGTAAAGATTACCTTAAATGTCTATTTATCTTTACAGTATTTTTTTATAAAGCTGAACGGAAATTGCTACAAAAGTTGTAAGTTTTACGATGTACATGATATACGATATAAAAAAACACTCCGGCAATTGCAATAATTTCGTAGTAAAAAGCCCGATATGCATAACATTTTTTAACAAGTTTATAGTAATTTTGGTCATAACTTATGGTCTCTCCAAGATTGCAAAAATTTTGTTGCAATTATAAAAAAAATTATAATAATTTTAATTATTATATTAAAATAATTTTTGCTACAATATTTTTTCCGTGTACACAGAAAGAAGTATCAACGTATGCAATACGGTATTAATATGATATTGAAAAAATATTTCCAAAAACAAAAATGTAAAAATCGAAATATCTGAAGACCCAAGCATTTAATTAGTTTGCCTGATGTTCAAGAGCGTTTGAGAACCTGTGTAGGTTTCAGTAAGTAATTTCGTGAAGATATTAATCCAGCGTTAATTTAATAGAAATGGGAAGCCTGGCGAAATGACCAATGAGCCAATTCCGTCGCGAATGGAGCTCAGATGCACAGATCGAAGAAGGGCGAGGAGGATGGACCAATCGAGAACGAACTCGTCCAGCCGAGCTGGGTCGCCTCACGGCCAACGAAGGCCGAGCAACATTTTTCCTCGGCTTTTCTCGCCGCGAAAGAAGAAGAACTCGTCGTCCTTTCAAGTTCAATGCCACCTCCGGGCCCGACCTGGCGCAAAAGGGACCGCGGAAAGGGCGCCGCCGCGGCGCGAGCTGCCTGCCACTTCTCAAAACCGGCCGAATCGTCCTCTGGACTTCTCGCGCAGGTGGAGATCCAGCGAGTACGCAGCATCCCGCTGGAGCGACTCTCGAGAGATGAAAATGACCGAATCTGATGGTAAATCGCGGTAAACCGCCTGGTAATTTTGGGAAGCTGGTAAAATGATTATTTAGAAAAGAATGAAATAAAGAAATTTCGATGTAAAGCTCAACTGGAGAGCGTTTAGTTTTTAATAGATGAATAAAACACTTTATTTAACTCATATTTTCTATAAAATATTGTCATGCTGTCATATTAATGTATTATATGTAGTATATAGTAATTAGGAAATTAGATGCATAGCACATCTCTAGAGAAACTTAACAAACTTTTTTATTAGGATTTTCGAAATAAAAGTTGTGTGTTTCATATCTCCACTCCGATGCGAGGCACGAAAACACGAAGAATGTCGCGTGATCAATTCACGCAGACAATACGCGGTTTATTTCGAGTGCGTTGCACATATAAATAAAATACGCCTCCACAATCAATAAACAATTTCCGCCATGATCTCGGGAAAATAATAATGTTTGCCGAGCAATCCCGAGTGGACTTTATTGAGCCTCATCCCGCAGTTTAATCTCAAGGTAATGTACAATATTAAATATCGCGAGCACACGACGAACGAAACGTCTCCGAATTCGCTGGGAATGCTAAAAAGAATCTGTCGAGACGACTCGAATCGAGTCAAGTGAACTGAATTTCAGGATTATATACGAACTAACTGCTCCAATTTTTTTTTCAACAACATTTGAAAGTTTTGCGTTTTTAAATTTCTTGCTACAAACACTGAAAAAAGTCAGGTTGACAGACTTGACAGACCTGCACGATTTCGGCAACTTTCCCCTGTGGATATATATATGTTCCTTTAATTTTTAGGAAGTTCATCTAACTGCATAATACGAGTAGCTCTATCTCTGGTTGGTCGATTAAGTAAATCGCGAACGATAAATATCACCGGTAATGCGTCGAGTCAGCTTTACGATCGTTTCGTCCCAGATAAACAGGTATATGACTAAATTTGACTAAACGATTTTATCAGGTGGTTTCTAAAGATTGCGTGTTTTATGTGTTACCCGCATTTACCATATAGAAGCCATATAGAAGTGTTAATAGCCGTTACCTTAGACAAAGTAGTCAGATTCGAATTTAAAGTTAGATGTAAATTTTTCAGTTGAGTCGCCATTACAAATATAATGTCGTGTGGATTGTGTGTGATTTAGATGAAAACCTTAAATCTAACTCTACATTTATATCTAAGTACCTTACGTGGGGCAAGTTTCAAGCAATGATTATTAATACGGGCGCAAACGATCGAAACACCTGCGTCAGATAGTCGATACGACTTTTTCTCAGGTCGACTAGAAGGATTGAAGTTTCTTGCGAAAAATTTACGTAACTCTCTGAAGCTTTGGTTCTTTGTGCGCGTTATTTTTTTTTCAGCGTAGGTAGGCTTAGAAGGACAGGTCTAACGAGACTTCCTGTTGAAAACTATGACGTTTCGCGCTCAGCATCGGCGACGCCTTGGCGATAATTATTCACTATTGCGTTTACCGCGTAGTTTCGTAGGGTGGTTCCGCGGAGGACGCCACGAGGACGCGCGTGTATCGTGAATCAGCGTAATATCCTGATCGTCACGATCGCGCGCGCGATCTACTCCGTCGCGAGTTGTTTGGAAGCTGTCCAGTTAACTGCGTATATACGACACGGTCGCAAACAGACCACAGGTTGCCGTCAGCTGACGCCGTTGGCAGACTCGGCGACTTGCTTTTTCGGCCTCGCCCGGATATAATCGTCGGGGTGTTTCAGGAAATCCAAAACGCGTCACCTGCGAGGACGCGGCGACCAATTTTAGGCGGGTGTGTCGTCAAAACACGTCGGGACACATGTGATCGATCGTCGCGAGCTACGTCGCCTCGAAGCGACTTCGGGGGAAGACGAACGACCTGCGCGGACTTGTCCCTGACGAGGACGAGTCCGATTGATTTTCGCGGACAGCAAGAGTTGTTGTTGAAATATTTCTAGAAAGTCGTACTATTTACACTGTGCATCCGCGCAAAGAGCACGGAGAGTTAAATTTAGGGGACATTTCGAGGGTGGGAGAAGTGGCGCGACACGAAGGAGCGGAGTCGAACGGGGCGCCTTGAAGCTTCGATCAGGAACGAATTACGGTATAGTCGTCGAAGAATTACTCGGTAAGGGACTCATCGTGCACGTAATAACAGTCTCGACATTTCTACCTTCATTTATTTAACCGCGAAGTTTATCCCGACAATGAAGAGCACGATAATCCCGGCGAGGAGAGGTTAATTACACGGCGCGATTTCGCATAATATCCACTTTCAAATCGGCCTTTCTCACGTTAATTGGAGTCTGCTAATTGAAGGCAAAGTTTCAGAAATTCGCCAGCGGTTTCGCGATAAACACCAATGATAACGAGCGCAAAAATCGTTACGTAAGAATTCGCATTATCGGCGATACGTAACGTCACGTGCTCTCTGCACTCGTTAATAATGCACGAGCCTTTCTGTGACACGCAAGAACGACGCATGAAATGTTTTAATAAGTAAACGATAAAAAGGAATCTAATAAAAGGAATCGACTGACCTCGAGTCAATGTTACGCGCCCGTTATCTGAAAACCGCGCAGTTCCTCATGTTTAAGATTCTTACAAGTAAACTTAACCAAAAGGTATACTCCGATTTCTTTTTCCTTTGGCACAAATGTAGAAGTACAAAAAATATTTAGGTCATATTTTTTTATTTTGGTCCACTTTGAGTTTCACGGGCAGTTTATAGCTTTTTAATGTTCTCACTCCTATCATCAATAAGTATAACAAAAATATATAAGAAATAAAATTGAATACAAGATATAGTTAAATAATTAAAAAATTGGCATAGCTGAGATATGAACTATTCTAAATTTCTTTAGCCGAGATTCCAACCGAAATCTGTGCTAAATTAGTCAAAAATAGTTCGAATTTTGGCTAAACCGAAAGAAATAGAAAGAGAGAGAGAGAGAGAGAGAGAGAGAAAGAGAGAGAGAAAGAGAGAGAGAGAGAGAAAGAGAGAGAGAAAGAGAGAGAGAAAGAGAGAGAGAGAGAAATCCGACAATTTAATTAAAATTTTAACAAAATCGGCATAGCTGAGACACGAACCATTCTAAATTTTTTTAGCAGAGATTCCAACCAAAATATTTCAAATCTGTGCTAAATTAGTCAAAAGTGGTTCGAATCTCGGCCAAGAAATTATTTGTATAAATAATTTTTTTTCAACTTTTTACATGTTTTATTTAAATATTTTATTATTTATACGAATAATTTTACACATTTGATTTCATATTCATAATCATCAAACTAAAAACATCTATATCTTGTATTCAATTTTATTTCTTATGCATTTTTATTGCACTTGTTGATAATAGGAATAAAAATATTAAAAAGCTATAAACTGCCCACGAATCTCAAAGTGGGCCAAAATAAAAAAATATGATCTAAATATTTTTTGTACTTTTACATTTATGCCAAATTAGAAAGAAATCGGAGTGTAACTTTTGAGTAAGTTTATTTGTTAGAGATATTGTCCTCAAAATAATCTAAGAAATTTAGACAAATGTACACAATTATTAAGTACTGAAAGAATAAATATTTAAGATATGAAACATTTATTCGGTGCACATTTAATTAGCACATTAAATTTCAGATTATATCGCGAGTGTTAAATTTTAATTATTATTGGTTGATTATAAACATGAAATTATTGCCTACACTGGGAGAAATGATATCTAAAATGTGAAACGTATTTATTCGGTATACAGTAAAAAAATATCTTGTACTTGTGTTGAAATCAATTCGTACAGAGATTTTTGTGTTAAACTGTTAATATATCCGTGTGTTGGTCTAACATATCATATTATTTTAACTAATCTACATTGAGATTACATTCATTGTTTCTAAGTGCTAAAATAACACAATTTATGTGTAACATATATATTCTT